CAAATACTCATTTATAACTACTTTAGTATTCAATAAGAGAACAATAACAAGGAAAAACAAAACAAAACAAAATTGTACTAAGCAGTATCGCCCCCCTGCACACAATATGTTAAAAATCAAAGAAACAACTGCCAAGCCTAAGACACAGTCTGGAAGTAGAAGAAAGGAAGGGAGGGAAGGAGGGAGGGAAAGTGGGAGGGGTAAAGTGAGGAGGGGAAGAAGAGAAGAAAAAGAAGAGAAAAGAAAAGAAAACAAAAAAGTAAAAACAGGCTATTTGGAGAACTGATCTCTAATTGAAGACTAAGTGCCTTCTTATTCAAAACTCATCTTTCCATAATTGGAAGAAGAAAAGTAAAAGCAAGCATTGTAAAGTTCAGTAAGGAAACACACCACCTATGGATCTTCCCAATAAAGAGACTGACCTCAGACTACCACGGATGAAGAGTTACTCACAGCACCTGGTACAGCACTCATCATACAGCAAGTTTTTTCAGTAAAATTTTTTGAATGACTGAATGAATGATTTAGGAATGAAGTAGACATTCAATAATTCTAATTCCTAACTGGTCTCCACGTCTCCAGTTTTATTCCCTTTTCCAACACTGTAACATTATCATTCCATAGCTTAGCCCCCCACCCCCATCAACCCACATTTGTCATTTTGTGTGCCCAAGAATACCTGGGATCCGGGCTGCTCACTGCTCAACTTCAGAGGGCACCTTTCACCAAGGTGTCTATCAGTTGTACTCCAAGGGCTCCCATTTCCACAAAGACACCATAATTGTCACCCTTTGGAATTGTGTTTGATGTGCCCAAAGAACTATCTTAGGATATGCCCACTGCATTGCACAAATTCCAGGGGACGGTATTTACAGTGTTTTCTACAGGAGTGGAGCACCTGGAGCACAACCTCATAGGGAATTCTAGTTACGTTATTCATCTACTGTACGTTATTATGTCAGCCTTTCCTTGAATTCCTTTTCTTCACCATTGTCTTTAGCCAATACGATCCATCACTCTAACATCCTCTCTTTAAAACCTCAACTCCTTTGCCTTTCCAAAGACTCTACTGAGAATCAATTTATTTAACCACATTATTTGCTGAACAGTTCTTTATAGTCTCCACAGGAAGGTGTTACTCCAGGTTTCATTTTTCGCTCGCCTGTTGACTTACTTTACAAATCTTCATTTGGTGAAGGCATCTATACTCACAACTTTCATTATCATTTATGTAGTGATCACCCCAAACTATTTTCCCAGCTTCCATTTTTCCTACATTCCAGGCATGCAGACCAATTTACTAGAATTGAATTAACTACCTGGATGTCCAACACATTTGCCAATCACAAGGTGTCAAAAATGAAAATATCTCATTCTTCCCATCACCTCAAAATCTCTCCTCTTCCTGTGTTCTGTAATCTTACCCTAAGTTAGAATCATGGATCATCCTCCCTTTCTCTTTACTGCCTACAACTAATAGGTTACCAAATTCTATTCCTTCTATCCCCAAAATACTTTTGAAATCTGAACTTTCATCTCTATCCCACTGCTACCATAGACCCTTCATTCTATATTACCTGGATTCCTGCAATAATTCTGCCAATGGATTTCCCTGAATCCGACTTTGTTTTCTTCTAATCCATCATCCTCACTTTTGTCAAGACCATTCATCTCTCTGACTTAAAATCTTTCAACGGCTCCCTAAAGTTTTCAGAAGAAAGTCTAAGCTATTTAAAATGGCATACAAACCTTTCAAACTAATAACACTTCTCACATAATAAATAATGATTAAGGGACCTATTGCAAACTTTCCAAGGCTAAGACTGCAAGTGTTCCTTAATTGCACATCTCTGGCCAAGATGAAGAGCCTCTGAGTCCCAGCTCTTTCACTGAAAGGGTTATTGCCACTCTCAAGTTCAGAGGAGACTAAATGCTGCCCTCTGGTAACCAGCAGAAGAAAACTATGTCATTCTATATTCTCAGGTCCCTTGAAAATGTTGGGGCCAAATATGAGTTCAGGGACAGTCTTTCCAGGCTTTTTGGCACTAAAGTTCCCCAGTCAAAGGATGTTTTTTTAGTAGGATACAAGGCCAACTTACTAAAGTGAGCATCTCCATTCACATGAACGTCTTCAGAGACTAAGGAAATTCTACTGGTAAAGAAGCATTGCTTGGCTATCCATTCACTGTGTCCAGCTGTAGTGCCACAGGGCCTGAGAACACTGGCAAGGTAGGGGCCCTGGTGATGTTTATCTCACATGTATACACAGGAACATCCCAAACACTGTAGTGCGTGGACATCAATACAAGAAGGATATAGAAATCACAGGCTCTTTGAAGCTCAAGAAATGTAAACAGCAAGAATTTGAGCAATGCCTGTGCATAATAAAGGCACACTATTCCCTGCTGGCATCCTAAACAAGCATGGATTTTACTGTCTGAGTTTTGTAGTCACATCTTATTTTTATTACACCTGCCTCAGATAGCAGTATTACTATATTATCCAGAATACCTAAATAGTCTCTATTTTCCAAATGGAAACATCATTTCATCATAAGAGGGTATATAGTTTCACAGAAAAGATAATTAGTCATATCAGCAGTTACTGTTAAGCATGTGTCTACTCTCCATTAGAGCTTTAAAAATAATGAAACCAAGAAACACACGAAATGCGTATGTCTCCATGGAAAAATTACTGAGCTCATTATTGTTTTCCTTGAGGAATGCAGATCAACTATAATTATATGTGGCACTTTTGAAACAATACAGTGTTGTTCCAAATAATCATTTCCTCTTCAAATATTTCAGATGGATTAGCTATACCAACAAGTTTCATTTCAGCATGTTGATGGAAAATGATATTTTTTCCTTACATCCAACATAATAATTTCATTAAAATTATTCTTCATTGGAAACAGAATGTTTTAACATAAAAAATAGAAATGAAATAAGGCCATATATATGACTAGATCTATATGTTCATACTTTACCAGTATGGTTTAAGCAGATTTGTTTTTGAAAAAATAATATAATACTGGGACTTATTATTAGCCAAAATCTTTTTACTCAGGGAAAGTATGTATCTTAGTATTATCACTTAGAAATGTGAAACCACGTTTGGTTATGCATTTTT